GAAGTTTTTGTTGGGAGCGCTCCGTGACTCAGCAATCCTCCTTTGAAAACCAGTCGAAGGTCACGTGGAATATAAATTTTCCAATAGTCCGAGCTTTTGTGATCTAGGTTTTTTTTTTTGCTTCCGACGCACATTTATCAACTTTTGAAACGGCAGGCGTGTTCAATGCTTTTGTATGGTCCTGCACAAATTCTGACCTTCATTCACCCAAGTTACACCAGTTTTGATATATGTTTTAGAAAGCGCGGTACCAATAAGTGAACATTTGCAATAGATTTTCCCCTGATGAATCTCACTGACAACTAGTGAACACTGCTGCCTAAAGGATGACTAGATCATTCACTTAGTCACTTTTTAAATTTGTTATGCTGTTACATTTAGTGTTAGTGCTATTCTGATATTGTTGTTTTGCACGTTATTGGCTCGTTCGCTGATAATGTAAAAGATTATGTGGCTAATGTTTATAATGAAGTGAATTTCACCATGAAAGTGTTTTTTGACTACTCATGCGAAATAAAAACAACAAAATATCCTTGAGATTCATCGGTAAGACAGTGTGTCGCACTTCCCGGAAATTTTCCTCAGAAAAAGTGCGAAAGGTGAAAAGAAAACAACAAAATCCTAGAAATTTCCTAAAATTAGGCGTCAACTACGTAGCAAGTGCGGTAGGCGTCACTGGTGCAATTGCGTCCAGCCGCTCTCAAGGTTGCCCGTTTGCATAGCTCATCGGAATAGGGCATTAGGTTCGATACTTGTCTGTGAGGTCTAAATGGAAATCTTCGAATGTCCTAAGCCGTTATAAGCATTCTCCAAGAGACATAGCCTCCTGATCATAAACCATGGGCCTGTGCGGTTTTAGCTTTTTAACACATTGAACGCCGTGGCGTTTTTGCGGCGACTCCCGTTTTCACTTCCTGCGTCTCCGCGCGCGTGAATTGCGTGCAATACACAAACGCGCGAAACGGGAGTCTTTGTGCCGCATGCCCCTTTACACGCTCATTCTGGTTACTTTTGCGCTCATTTCTACATTGTTCAATATGAATGATGACTTCTTTTAGCTGCATAGATGGATCTGGACAACGTAGAAGATCTAAACGTCAGTTTTGACAACATAAGTGTTGTTATCGTAATGAACTGAAAACTATCAAATGTATTGTAAATTAACACTAATTAGCATACGTACATAGCCTCCTGATCTTATACTATAAAGGACAGTCGTGTAGGGCAAGGTATTCTCTGCACAACAGTATGAAATTCAATGGTAAATCTTTTCGACATCGGCGCTATATTTCGAGTGAGGAAAAACGGCTCACCCAGTACAGCACGACTTCGAAGAAATAACGGATAGAGGAAAGTATATACAGTCCTCATCATTGCAGACCGGTGGGGCGGGTGAGCCGCGCTGCGTGTGACTCGGCTGTGACGCGGCAGCGATGACAGTCGCGTCACAGCCGAGTCACACGCAGCGCGGCTCACCCGCCCCACCGGTCTGCAATGATGAGCACCACATATCTACTTGAAGAAACGCTGAATTGTTAGAAACGCAGAACCTGCAGAAAATAAATAAAACGGAAGTATAGGTATCTGAAGGAGCGACGATTCTGCGGGAACTAAAATCTGCACCAATGCCGGAATTTCCCGGAATCGGCATTCTTCAGTAGGGCCTGAGCGATAAGCCCTCACACGTCGTTGTCCGTCACCGCGGCATTTCTTCGAATTCTGCACTTCTCCATTTTCCGGGCTTATCAGTCGTATACTTTCTTCTATCCCCGTTTCGGCATTTCTTCGAGTGGTCATGTATGAAGGTCTCGGTTTTGCGCGTACTTGTTTTTGCCACAGCACCGCGCAAAGTTCTTGTGGGAAGAAACAAGGCGAATTGTAGTGCATTGGCTTTGGAAGGAGTTTTCGTAGTGAAATCTTTGAGAGATTTTGAAGCTATGTCTTCGTATTAGTTGGATTTCGTCTCTTTAAGAGGGTTTTGAACACTGATTTGGTTTGTAGGTCTTATAGTTGTGAGTGTGTGGTTTTCAGGTCCTCACAAAGTGAATAACTTCCCTCTGCAAAGAATCGCTCAAGCCTTTGTCATCGCCACCAAGACGAGGCTCGATGTATCTGGTGTGATGATTCCGGACCACATCAACGACGATCTCTTCAGGCGAAAGAAGTTGTCTGGCAAGAAGGGAGAGAATATTTTCGCTGCTGGAGAGGTTGAATATCAGGTCTGTTTTTGCAAAGTATTCTCTTATCTGCGGGGTTGTTCAGCTGTCGTCTCGAAGTGCTTGATGCTTTTTTCCCTTGATATTGAAGGAAAGTCTGTATTTTATGTCACCGAGCAGAGGAAAACTGACCAGAAAGCCATTGACAAACCTATCCTGGCCGCTATCAAGAAAAACTCTGAACATAAAGCTCTCTTCGGTTACTTAGGATCGCGGTTCATGTTGGGTAAGAGGCAGTATCCTCACAACATGGTGTTCTGAATTTTGTTGTTATCAATAAATTGTTTGTTATTTTCTCGTATTTCCTCTGTTTTATTTTTGACTTCAAATGAAACTGAAGACATGGCCACTGTTGTGCCGTCGATGCTCGACTTGGAGGAAGCGGCTCCTGTGCGAGGAAATTTGAGACTTTCAAAGTATACTATTGGACAGAGATGTTCGAGAAAGTGAACCATAGAGATTGCTGTCAAAAAACCCAGGCACTCATATTCGTAACCCCAGGGTTTTCTCCATAAAATCTTGTGCCGATGTGACTACATGTTACTATGCTATCACTACGATTGTGCTAGAGTGGGGATGTTCATGGTTTCTTTGCGGTTTCAAGGGGTTTTTAGGGTCCCTTTTGGATATCCAGGTATGGGGTTACCAAATGTAAGCGATCGATTGTGCTGAAGTTAGATTTTCGAAACTCTGACAACTTCTTGGAAATTAGATATCAATTCAAATACACGTTAGAATGCCCACAGCCTTCTGGTTGAAAGCGATGTGGGCGTTGAGGAGGTCATGTCCAGACGAGCTCTGGTTCTGGGAGTGACAGTGGAGAAAATGCTCACTTCCAAACTCTTGTGCGGAATCAGAGCTAATCCGGCACAGTCACAGAATTTTCGGGGCTAATCACAGCGTGTTTACTATGCTCTTTTTCAGTTGAAAATCCTTCATAAACCATTTTTTTTTCAATATATTGGACACTGGGCATAGTTGCAGTCCCCTTCATGACCCCAAGCGAAAAAACATTGGATGCCTGAACAATGCTTCGCTTCACATTCCCTAGGGCAAAGTCCATAAGCCACTGAAAAAAAGACGTTGAAACCTCAGACACGAGAATCACAGCTAGCACAACCAAACAGCTAACACCCAACCATTCAACCTGGCTACAACAACAAAATTCTCCTGATCAAATGCCTGCAATATTTGAATAGATGGGGTAGGGTAGGGATCCAGGGCACAGTTATTGAGGATTCCCCATCAGGGGGTGTCGTATTTGGCTTCTGGCTTTCTGGGAGAGGCCGTCGATATTGTGGTTTTCTTTCATGTGTACTATATACCCCTCCCCCAATCAATAGCAAAATTTCCGGTTCTTGGGAAATTCTCGGAAAAGTTAGATGAGGAGGGAACCAGAAGGGTCCTGCAGACCGACTGATCCCAACTATTAGATTGTCCCAAAAGTTAGTGACCATTTTTTGAGTTTCATTAGATCTTTCCGCAACCATTCCATGATCCAGTTATGTGGTCTATGGACAATATTTTAAGTAAGCATTCCACAGTGGCTTCAGTCCCTCGCAGTCGCTGTTCTCACATCCAAAATGGTAGATGGAACTCATCATTTTCGACATACTTCACTATATGAATCTCCACCAAGCCAAAATGTGGTTGGAGCCACAAGCGGCATTTCTCTAAGTCAGTCCTAATGGTACCTTCCACAGAACGGCCTTGGGATGGCCCGATCATTTCGCTTAAGTGGCTTCGGAGGGGAACCTCGTCCAGAGAGGCCACCTGCCATGGACTTGGACTTACTGCGCTCCTTGATCAAAACCAATTCGTACAAATCAACTCACTATCTGGTCCTTACACTTGACTGTTCCAATGACACAAATGGCAGAGGGCCTAGCTTCTTTATAAAAGTAGTGAAGTTCGGTCAAAATTTTTCTCGTGAGTTGACCGGTACTCAAGGGGAAGGGCATGTGGGTACTGCCTACATCTTCGTCACCGCTTCCACCGTATGGACTGGTTGAACAGCGTTGTAACTGGATAGGAGGGGTTGTCTCTAGGTGAATCATTTCCAGAAACGAAAGTGGCGCCTCCGTTAAGGGTAGAACCGGTCGCGCAATCCTATGAATCCAGTAATGGGGTGAGTGTGTATGTGATGGGGTTCCTTTCCTCTTCCTTCGAGGGAATTTCGTACTCTCACCGCTGTGGTAGCCAGCAAACCCTACTGTAATCAACTGCAAAGAGGGGATGAAAATCTCCACCATTTGGTCCCCGCAACCCAGCAATATGTGCCTACTCCACCACAGCTCACGGTTCCGCCTTTGGAAAATGACACTGCTCGAGATATTGAGGCTTGGCTGGTGAATCCCACCACGGTCTTCATGTAGCATTGACACAGCTCTTTCTGACTGCCATTCAAACTAATCCCTCAGCGGCCATCTTTCTGGGTAAAAAAAATACGATTTTCAAAAGCACATCACCGATGACCCAGCCGTTCTTCTCGGCATGGAACATTTTGCTCTTTACATTTGCTCTTTACATCTTGTCACATGCCTACCCATCCCGACCTTGACCCCACCTCTCCAAGTTGTTCTTCTGGTAGAACCGAATTTCCGGACAGACAAACAAACAAACAGACGAAGCAAATTATATATACCATTTTCACTTTAAATCGGACACTTTTCAAACCAAATCGGACACTTTTCAAACCAAATCGGACACTTTTCAAACCAAATCGGACTTTTCAAACCAAATCGGACACTTTTCAAACCAAATCGGACACTTTTCAAACCAAATCGGACACTTTTCAAATCAAATCGGACACTTTTCAAACCAAATCGGACACTTTTCAAATCAAATCGGACACACCCCTTACAATTAGGTGGTTGATAACTAGACCACACTAGGTACTGTTGCAAGCCCCGCCCCATTATCCCCGCCCACTTCTCAGCGCGGACAGGGTTTTCCGAGAAATCTGCTCCCTTCGACTTTTTTTCGTTTTTGCCCTTTGCACACACACTTCAACTGAAAAAGATTGATACCTATACAGATCTGACTCCGCCCACTTAACAATGAAGTTACGTAAGTTCTGAATTTTATAACTTTTTTCGACGTAGTTCTTTTCACATCCAATCTTCACAAAACGAATAACCATGCACAGCACACCAGGCCCCGCCCCTCTGACCCCGCCCACTTGTGTTTATCGCGGAATTTTGGTTTTTCTTCCGGATTTTCGCTTTTTTAGGCTTTAGCGATTGGCTCCGCCCACCAATGGAAGCCCACTTTGGGGAAGCCCCGCCCACTTTTCGAAAATGATGCAAATCGGCGGGCTAGTGTCCGTACTGGCGGATTACGGCCTCTCCCGGCACATAGAATAAAAAAAGGGAAAAACCGGAAAAAAAGGGAAACTTTGTTCTGAGCGACGGGAGAGGCCGTAATCCGCCAGTACGGACACTAGCCCGCCGATTTGCATCATTTTCGAAAAGTGGGCGGGGCTTCCCCAAAGTGGGCGGAGCTTCCATTGGTGGGCGGAGCCAATCGCTAAAGCCTAAAAAAGCGAAAATCCGGAAGAAAAACCAAAATTCCGCGATAAACACAAGTGGGCGGGGTCAGAGGGGCGGGGCCTGGTGTGCTGTGCATGGTTATTCGTTTTGTGAAGATTGGATGTCGAAAAAAGTTATAAAAATTCAGAACTTACGTAACTTCATTGTTAAGTGGGCGGAGTCAGATCTGTATAGGTATCAATCTTTTTCAGTTGAAGTGTGTGTGCAAAGGGCAAAAACGAAAAAAAGTCGAGGGAGCAGATTTCATGAAGCATCTCGGAAAACCCTGTCCGCGCTGAGAAGTGGGCGGGGATAATGGGGCGGGGCTTGCAACAGTACCTAGTGTGGTCTAGTTATCAACCACCTAATTGTAAGGGGTGTGTCCGATTTGATTTGAAAAGTGTCCGATTTGGTTTGAAAAGTGTCCGATTTGGTTTGAAAAGTGTCCGATTTGATTTGAAAAGTGTCCGATTTGGTTTGAAAAGTGTCCGATTTGGTTTGAAAAGTGTCCTTTTGAAAAGTGTCCGATTTAAAGTGAAAATGGTATATATAGTGGCTGATATTCGGGTTCATAGAGCAAAACTACCCTTGGAGACAGGTTTCTAGCCAGATGTGAGGTTTTGACCTAACTTTGAAAAGTGCGGTAGCAGTTGATCGAATGATGGTCACCAATAGTTCCAGGGCCAGTCTCTTGTCGATTGCTTGTCTTTGGACGGAATTTGCTTTTAGATACCAGGAAAACTGGAGCAGTAACAACATGAATGCGTAAGAAGTGGCAAGACGAGGCTTTGTGCAGGAGAATGTATCTGCAGCTGAATAGGTGTGAACATCAACTGAACTAACCCATGGATGCTTCACTTTTCGAAGTCAGGTCAAAATGCCAGATTTGGCTAGAAACCTCTACCTAGGCGTAGTTCGCCCCCATAAATACGAATATGGCACTCGCTCAGCGCGAAAACGCCTGCACTGCAGGGCACCTGTACATCCAAAAATTCTCCTAGATCATAAGGCACTAAGCGCGCCAGTAAGCGAACGCAAACTGTTTTTCAGGCAAGTCAAGGAGAGCGCTAATGTAGTAGTGACGCCACAACCACTTTTTGCCACGTTTGCGCAAGAAGCAAAAAAGTTAAGCTCAGCAGGGATCCGATCCCATGACCTGTTGCGTGGTAAACGCGGTGGAAAAAGCTCCATAACTCCGTTCAGAGAATCGCTTCTGCAAATTTCGAAGGCAGATTCGAGATCAGCGTCCAAAACCACGTCTAGTGAGCTACATCTCATTACAAATGGCCACTTCGACCTGACGACCTTCCCTAATAAGACGATAGTAATTGAATGAACGAAATAAATCCTAAACGGAAATGGCAAGGAAGCACTTTGGTCTGAATTTCTCAAAGACAGCTCCCGCGATAAAAGTCTCATGGATAGCTGCTTTCCAATTATGAAACAGCAGCTGATAAGTAATCTCCCAAAGAAGAAAACAGGCAAGAAGCGTTCTCCAGAACAACATAAACAAAATCGCTCCCTCACAGTTACACCTCCCTGCGGTCTCTGTGCAAGCCCCTAGCTCACAAGTCTCTCTATCACATCTCGCAGTAGTTGATATCATCCAGTGCAAAAAAAGAATACAAAAAGAAAACAACAAAAACGCAGAGGAAAAACTCTGGGAAGGAAAAAGGAGTCGGGGGGGGGGGGGAAGAAACTTCATAAGTTTATGTATAGGGGGGGGTCGTACCGAACCCCCAAAAAAAGGGGGGGGGTCGTACGGGCTCCACCAAAATCCCCAACCAATGATGTGCCCTGGTGGGAATGGGCGAAAAGCAGCCATCCTGTCACGCATCGATCGACTTTTGGACGTCGAGCTGTCACCATCGTCACTTCGACACAGCCTGCAGGTTTGAGGAGCTCGATCCTCGCCTTTTCGAAGATATTCTGATCCACGAAGAGAGGAACTCGTGCTGTAAGGTTATGGCACAAATAGCCATTGAGCTGAGTGGTCAAAAGTGGCCCGGTAGCGTAATAGGGAACGCAACTGCCCGGTAAGCAGAAGATGCGGGTTCGAATCCCGTCCGTGGTCCGACTTTTGCCCATAACTCAGCATTCTTGTGATAGCTTTCGTATCGCGTACTGCGGCGTTAAACAGCAGTTATCAAACAATAACAGCTTGAAACAGAGCGAAGCTCCTTCCAGGCCCGGAGGACAGCCTCATCCTCTCTAGCGCAAAAGATCGAGCACGCGCCAAAATGTATCATTTGAGCGCAAATAAAGGTCAATGGAAGTCTTGCTACAGTAGAGCCGTAAGAACAATAAACTGTATTCTAAATATAAGGAGGTGAACTACCAGAAGGAAAGCGGGAGGTGTGGATAAGGATGAGATATGGGGAACTGTTTGTGGCTCTGCGAAGCTATGCTCTTCAAAAGATATAGTACTGGATTATAGAAACCAGCCGAGTGGTAGGCACGATGTCTAAAGGAAAGGAGAGCCCAAAAAACGCAAAAGACACAAATTGGCCGTCAAAGAAAAGGAAGGGAAAGGTCGAAACGAAGGCTCGAGAGATGGAAACACCACCGCAGTAAAACAAACAAACCGATCAGATTAATGCCAACCACGGGGCAGCGGCTAAACTACAAATCCTTGCAAGGAAAAAAAATCGCGTCTTTTTTGATGTTTATCGTCCGCTGCTCCACCCACTGCTGTCAGTAAGTGTTTAGTTGTGGAGTGAATACAGAATAAAGTGAGCAGTTTCAACGAACGCCGATTGCGAGTCTATCGTAGTCGAGGGGTCCGTGAGTCGATCTCCGAACGCGTTGGTATCGCCCGCCGCCCAGCCGTCCTCCAGTCGCTACTCCATCACTTCTGCCCTTCGTCGGCCGGCTCGCCTCACACTCGCTGAAACCAAACCGTCATTACGGTCATCAAACGATCAGGCTACAGTGTTTCAGAATTTGCTCCAGTCTCCTGGACCTACAGGTAAGAGGAAGAAGGAGTACTTCGCACGGGACCCAGACCCGCACCAGTGCTCGCTGGGCCACATTCTCGTGACAACAGTACCATTGCGAGCTATGGTGAAGAACAGAAATTAACAATGCATGGCAAGTGGGAACCTGTGAAAATTAACTCGTATCAACACTGCTGATAACAACCTCATGATACTGCGGATGCTGAGGTTGAGGGTGTTTCATTCTGAGCTTCGCAGCTGTAAGCATCGCGCAGTTCTTGTGAGTTTTTCCACGTTTACTTCGAATGGGGAGCATGGGATACAGGGTGACAGGGCTTCTTCTGTCAACCGGGACATAGAGGTATTTCCATCGCGTTTACTGCCCAAGAGTTGAGAGGAGAAGGAAAGGAAGAGGGAACAGAGAAAGAGGAAGGAAAAGAAGAAAGGAGGGAGAAGGGATAGAGGCTCCGCGGTTGACAGGTATCCGAAAGACGAGTACATGGTTCCCACAGGAAACTGGACAAAACAATCGTGATTGGTCGTTTCATCGCCTGCGTCGTATCGTGCTGCGATGTGCAGCAACTTCTTAATATCAACCACTTTCTCGGTTGGAGCGAAACCGGTGTGAATTCGAGCGGATGACTTCATGAGGGGCGGTATAGGTTTGTCCTGCCCTTTTAGCACTCGCGGTCTATGTAGTTGGGCGCCGCCTCAGCTGGGTTACCAATTTCGCCACTGAGAGCCGTTATGGTTAATGAATCTCATCATGTTTCGGTAGAGGATAAAGTCTTCGCTGTTGATCAATACCCTGTGGGATGCGGCACGCATTCTACTTCCCATTCAGAATCGTAGTAGCTTTCTGAATGCGATGTGGCCTTATACAATGATTTTCGGGGCCAGCCAATGTACAAGTCATTGTCCTGATCCAGTTTTTCGTCATCGTAGAGATTGGTTGACCTGTATAGAAGTAGACCGGAGATTTGCCGCGCGCCACTTGTCACTGCACCACCTCCGCCTCCATTGTTTCGATACCTCTTCAAACATGAGCTTCCTGTATCAATGGGGCAGGTCATATGGGATCTTCGCTCGATGAGGACTCACACAGCTTACCCAGACGTGGCAGTTTTCCACGGAGCCATGCTTGACAATGTTACAGACAAGAGTCTTCGGAAGAAGGGAATCCGTCGCATAGGAGAAGAAGCTAGCAAGCTGTCGAACCGAGCGTGGATCGTAGAAGAGAGCAGACTAGTCAACCGCCACCTCAGGCTCTACTCGATCGAGGAAACGGCACTAATGCATATGGAGAACAGGGACAAGACAATAGCGATTCGTCGCATCGCCGCGCGCGATGGATTGCGCGGCCATGTGCGGCAATTTTGGGCGTCATTTTTTCGACTGGAGCACCGAAACATGGGCGTGGCGTAGCTCCCCGTCCACCAGTGCGGCATATTACCATTATCTCATCACCTACCCATGCTTATGGTAGCGGATGGCGGTATCCACCATTCTTACGTTTCGTAGCAACGGACAAATATAGGTGTGTTGGGTTGCGGGAACTGCAGAGACTGCGTTCGGATAGCGACCTGAGAGCGCGTTCAGACTTTGCAATCGCGTGATCCAGTCCGCTGGATCACGAAGTCTGAACGAGCTCTAATAGCACTCCCTCTCCATTTATGTGACAAGGTCTCCTCCGTAGAAGTTGCTCTTCAGCGGGTCTAAGCCATGTCATGGCTGCTCGTCTGGCCTTCGCATGGAGAGAGCGTGAAATCTTCTTACCCGGTATTTATCGACTAGTTATGCTGCTCTCTGACTGCACCCTCTCGAAAAGCATCATGTGACTTTGTCTAAGAACAGACAAGACTATATCTCGCTGGAGAGTGGCTCTTCCCGAAACACAGCGCTTGTTGAAGTATCCATCTTCTGAGGCTACGTCATGGTTCGCGACTCGAGCCATTCAGTCGCGCGATTTGGGAGGTCAGCGGCTGCGAATAACCATGCACATCATTAGGCCTCTGCACTGCTTAGCTAATCACCGCCAGCATTAGGCTTCCCGTAATTTTACAGTTCAACAACTGACGGTTCGATCGTGGGTGTAGGTTAGGACTCCACGAGAGGTCACGGCTGCCATGTCTCGCCTCGCCGCGCGCGGCGATTGCAACTGATTTTACGAGAGCAACATGGTCGTGCGATTAAGATCCCGGTCCCTTCACATAGTTCTGGCATCACGCGAATCTGCTTGGGATTTTTCCAAACCAGAATATTCAATGGGACGACAGTATTTTTGAATGGCAGCTGTACTTATTCGACGGGTTGCTGTATTTCTTCAATAGGACCTACTTTCACCGTCTGGCCGAGAATCTTAAACCTTACAATATCTTACAATTGAGGCCAAAAGGATTCACCCTGAAAAGAATTTTCGTAGATTGCTGATGTATTCTCTAAATATTATTTCTATGTTAATGGGCGTTGTTTTATACTAGTAGTTGAATATCGGGCCCATTCCTTTCATAGCCTTCACACCTGCAAGTATAAAGCAGACGGTTGGAAATCTCATGAACTATGCAAATGCAAAAAATACATAGCGAAAGCATCGCGGAGAGCACCTCCGCGGCGGCGGCAGGCTGACCTCTCGTGGAGTCCTAACCGTTCCCCTTCGATCGTCGTTGTCGCGCGACCGAATCGATCGAAACACGAACTACGTGCGGCGTGAGACTCCGTTCGTACATCGCGGCAGAATTCACCATCGTCCAGCAGGGTCCGGGAGTGGAGTGCAGGATGCGATAAGACAGTAGCAGACAGCTAGTAGAGTATGCGAGATAGGAAGGTAGCTGACTGTTAGTAGAGAGCATGACGTGATGGGAAGATAGAGCTGCTGGTAAGAGGGTAGCAGACGCAGGCACCTCCTGCCGCGCAATACTCTACACTCCTGGACGCTAGTGAGCGCTAGTGGACACTGGGAGACGTCGGTAGGCGCTGCCGCGAAGCATGAATGCAGCCCGAGAAAGAAAGCGCTCGCCGTTCATTTCGATCTGGTTTTCAGGGTCTAAAATGTCCAAAAAGGTGTTCATTCTTTTGGTGAGTACATTTTGAAAATGGCATGCACTTCTTACAGATAAAATAATAATGTAGTTCATTAGCAAACCTTTTCAGCTGATTGCTGCGATTGTTCATGACGCCGCTTCTAATGCCGTGGAAAGGTTCAAAAGGTCTGGTAGGTAACAGTTTCTTAATAGAACTGGGCGATCTCACTATGAAAGAGAGTTAGGCCGGAAGGGTCAGTGTAACTTTCAGGGCCGATGTGGGGAACTAGTTCATATTCTGGAGCCATAGGTTATCCTTCCTGCTCAGGAGAGCGACCGCTTGCATCCCCTTCTGTGCTCGCCCTCGGGATTTTTTGGGAAGCATAAAAGCTGTTTAAGTTTAACAAGGCGTCAGCCCCGTTAGCGAGAGGTGCCGGTTCAAGTTCCGTCTGGGGTCCGACTTTTGCTCTATATCACACGCATGTAATAATGAAGCTCCAGGAACTAGATAATGTTTGATTACATAGACGACATCTGCTGAGCACTTTGTACCTCGGGAGGAAAGAGCGTGCACTTTCACGTGAGCCTTTTGGGAGACAGCGATTTTTTTAGGGAAGCGGGGTCAGAGCGAGTGAGCCACATCGTACATTTCAGTTCTTGACAAATATATCCCTATAGGGCATATAATTATTTGGAATCGGTCGAGTCTGTACGACCCCTCTGGCTTCCCCCTCATCGAGCTGTCGAGCATGAGGGTAATACGACCCCTCTCGCCAGAGATTTCACTATTGTGTGGGGGAGGGAGGGGGTATATAGTACGCATGAAACATATATAGTACGCATGAAACAGGAAAACCCACAATATGAACAGCCTGTCTCAGAAAGCCGGAAGCCAATATACGACACACCCTGATCGGGGAACCCCAATAACTGTGCCCATGATCCCTATCTGCCCTCCATCTAAATATTGCAGGCTACCATAACCATAGTTGTCGCAAAACTGCAGACTCCCTTCCGAGCCAAACAACGCGCAATAATTGGTCATAAGAATTCTGTTGTAGCCACGTTGTAATGGTTGGGGTGTTAGCTATTTCGTTGTGCTGATGATTCTCGTGTCTGAGGTTTCGACGGCTTTTTTTCAGGGCTTCTGGAATTTGCCGTAAGGAATGTGAAGCGAAGCACTGTAATTTACAACATTGCTATCACACGGATGGTCACGAAGGGGACTGCAAACATGTCGCATGTATGGCAGCATTGAAATAAATAATTTTTGAAGGAACTTCAGCTGAAAGAGCATTGTAAACATGGCGCCATTAGCCCCAAAATTCTGTGACTATGCCAGATTTGCTAAGATTTTGCATAAGAGGTCGAAGATGAGGATATTCTCCACTGTCACTCCCAGAACCAGAGCTCGTCTGGACATGACCTCCTCAGCGCCCACATCGCTTTCAACCAGAAGGCTGAGGGCATTATAAGCGTGTATTTGAATTGATATCTAATTTCCAAGAAGTTGTCAGAGTTTCGAAAATCTAACTTCAGCACAATCGATCGCTTACATTTGGTAACCCTATACCTGGATATCCAAAAAGGGACCCTAGAAACCCCTTGGAACCGCCCAGAAACCAAGAACAACCCCACTCTAGCACAATCGTAGTAGCATAGTAATATGTAGTCACATCGGCACAAGTTTTACGCAGAAAACCCCGCGGTTACGAGTACGAGAACACGGATTTTTTACAACACTCTCTATGGTTCACTCTTTCGAACATCTCTGTCCATTAGTCTCTCATTTCCTCGCCCAGGAGCCGATTCCTCCAAGTCGAGCATCGACGGCACAACAGTGGCTATGTTTTTAGCTTCATTTGAAGTCAGAAGTAAAACAGAGGAAAAGACGAGAAAATAACAAACAATTTATTGATAACAACAAAATTCAGAACACCATGTTGTGAGGATACTGCCTCTTACCCAGCATGAACCGCGATCCTAAATAACCGAAGAGGGCTTTATGTTCAGGGTTTTTCTTGATAGCGGCCAGGATAGGTTTGTCAATGGCTTTCTGGTCAGTTTTCCTCTGCTCGGTGACCTAGAATAACGACTGTTCTTCAATAGCAAGAGAAAGAGCATCAAACATCTCTGCGACGACAACTGAGAAACCCCGCAGTTAGGAAAATACGGTTCAAAACAGACCTGATATTCAACCTTTCCAGCAGCGAAAATATTCTCTCCCTTCTTGCCAGACAACTTCTTTCGCCTGAAGTAATCGTCGTTGATGTGGTCCGGAATCTTCACACCAGATACATCGAGCCTCGTCTTGGTGGCGATGACAAAGGCTTGAGCGATTCTTCGCAGTGGGAAGTTATTCACTTTGTGAGGACCTGAAAGCCATAAATTTACAAAGATAAGACATCAGTCAACCAGTGTCCAAAACCCTTTCAAAGAGGCGGTAATCCAGCACACGAAAATACCACTTCTAGATCCCTCGCAGTTCACTACACTGCCCTCTCGAGCTTCTTCCAGAGCCAACCACTTTCGCCCTGTTTCTTCCCACAAGAACTTGCAGCGCGCAGCTGCGGCATAAGCAAGAACGCGCAAAATCGTGGATACAATCACACATGACCACTCGAAGAAATGACGACACTGCGTATCGATAGGAGAGCCCCGGAAAGGAGTTGTGTAAAATTCTAAGTTCTGCTGAAGCGACGGACAACGACTTAAAGGGTTGATCGCTTAGGCCCGCCATCTTTTTTTTTTGCAGATTCCGCGTTTCTCCCAAATCCGCGGTCCTTCAAGTGGATATCTACACTTTTTTATATCCGCAGTTTCGTCATTTCTTCGAAGTCGTCATGTAAGATGCGGCATAGGAGTCATTACAAGCAACACATTCTGAACTTTCGACCCAATATGCAGTTCTATTCAATGTGGCGCCCTCAAAATCGAAAGCTAGCGAAACAAACAGAAACGTTGAGAGCAGGTATCAGACAAGAGAGCCTCCTAGGCTGAGTCAAATGATCCACTGCAGCTTGGGCAAAGGGACAACCAATTGTCTGACCAGTCTGGCTACGCGCATTTCTGCGCGCATGGTTAAACCTATGTTACTGATAACTGACAGGATTTCTGTGCTGAGCACTAACAAGCCTAATTCCTATGTTTCCAAAACGGCCCATTTCATCATGTTTCTCCCTTTTAATGAACACTTGCCAATGTTAGGTTCTTATCATATTTCTAAAATCACCATTCGTTGGAAATAGGACAGCATAGCGGTTGGAAGGATTCCGATGGTAAAAATATCGAAATCATAGTGGCTCTTATCATTCCTCACTGGGCAACAACTCCAAACATCCTTTTTTCGGGGAACTCGAGCGTTTAGCGGTGGAAGCAATTCCCGCTAAACTGAGGGATTTTGCTAAGGGGAAACATCTTGACTCACTAAGCCTTCGCCCATTGATTCTTTGGCTACGGTGATGTGAGCAGATACGGACTCCCAAAAGCCCTTGTCGGACACTGTCAGAATTTATCTCCCACCTTCTAATGTTCCCTAAGCACCTCTGAATTACTTGCTGGAGCAGAAAATGAATATGGAACCTACCCGCTTTCGAAACCGAAAAAAGAACAATAAGAGTGCACTTTTTTGTGAAGCCTTGCTGACATACTCTTGTGAACTGTGAAGTTACAAGGTGATAACATGAACTTGAAGTATGTACGCAGGCGTTACAGGAAAAGGTTGGCAGCGACTTAATTCCGAGCTTACCATTGATTTCTTATTCTTATAACCAAACATTCTGTGAAAACATGAATATCAAACAATAGAAAAAAAGTGACAGTATATAAATAATAAAAATAAAAATTGGAAATTTAACATGAAGGGTTTCATTCTTTGCACCGTACTCCTCACTAGGTTATTTACTAGTTTTCTATGCTGAGAGATTGGCTAGCAGTAGCATCAGCGTTCGATGAGCAGTCCAATTGCTGGATTACTTCAGATGTGGCAGTAAATATCTAAACTGCGCCTGCTATATAACGTCGGCATTCAAATTAAAACTGTAATGATTATGCCCTTTACAATTCACAAAACATTGTAAACATTATTTCTATTACTCGTAAAAACCATCCATCTTAAAACCGTTCCCGCGCTCGAGCAACTCGTAACCTTCCTCGTACAAGGTCTTGTCCTTAGTCTCCGAGATTATCCCACATTCGCGACTTCACAGTATGTAACGAAGGTGTGCGGCCGTCATAGTGGCAATTCAGACGCTTTCCAAGTTCCCGCTCACCAAAACTCGAAGTCGTTTTCCCATCACGACATTTTTTTCGTTGTTAGATGGTACTAGTATTGACAAACGATCAGTGAGCCAGAGGTAGCAGGATTAGTTGGGTACGTAAAACGAGCAGTTCCGGAGGACTCGTTCAAAAGGCTGTGTCTTTACCTAGAGTGTTCTCTATGGTTTTTTTCCCTCTTTTTCTTCCATGAAGTGTTGTTCTGCGACTACAAGTTTGTAAGTGAGCGCCACCATTCACAGTATTCAATCGCGAGGGTTATCTTAACGAAACAAGATAGATTCGGGTGTTAAGAGGCTTTGAGGGAAAATTACATTCGCTCAAAGGTGTCGAGTCGTATACTGACATCCCTTGTGAAGAAACCTCATTGTGAAATAAAGCAAAGTTGGCAAGCAAGGTGTAAGTGTCATACTGAAAATATTATGCAGGCTTCGGAATTGGCCCCTTCAGAACACCGCAGTGCCTTAACTATGCCTTTAGCATCCATGGCTTTATGGACATCTTTACATTAAAATAACATTTATGGTGGTCTACTATCTGGTATCTGTGCTATATCAAACTTTATTTATCCATACTACAGATGCTGCCACGGGGCACGGATCGGCAGCGGGTGAAAGTTGGGGGGGGGTTGGTGTGCCATTCCACTGCTTCAATAGTTAGGCCGTATTCCTACACGACGATGTTGCAGAAATGACGAAATTGCAGAAAGGAAATGTATACGTATCGATTTGAAAACCGCATTTCTGCAAATTCCGCGGAATTTGCAGAAATGCCGAAATGACGGACGAAGAAGTGATAGGGATCAATCGCTTGATTCCCGACGTGCGAAACTGAGAGAAATGCAAAACCTGCAAATTCCGCATCTCTCCAAATTGTGCGGAATTTGCGAAATGCCGAAGACGGACAACGACTTTATAGGGATTGGTCGTCAAGCTCACCAGCAGAATTTCCGCATTTTGGCATCTCTGCACTTTCCGCACTTTTGTATTTCTGCAAACTCCGCGATTTCCGAAACCGGGAGACAGATTTTCTTTTGCGCGTTCCGCGGTTCGGCATTTCTGTATCATTTATGAAGGCGGCCTTACTGGTTAGAGGGCTGGTGGCTCAACGAGCTCGCTCTACAAGAATTCAGAGGTTCTAGACAAACCTCTGATCTCTTGTAAAGCGAGCTCGTTGAGCCACCAGCCACTATGGTAAATGCTATGTGTATGATGCTACACAGCTTTGCAAGAGTTAGCAGGTCCCTACTGACTCTGGCATTTCGCGGCTTCACAAGGTCTCGCAGGTCGTTACTTGATAGCTCGTCACGTTGCTGGGAATCAGAAGAAGCTAAAAACTCGGTAACACCCTGCAGCGCATACGGACACAGGGCAGCCAAAGGATCCAAAGGCGCGAATGAACATGTGGCGTTTCAGAGGCTGTGCGTTCAGGGCACAACATCGTTGTGCGAAACATACAGAGGGGGGGGGTGGTATTTTTCCGCTCAGAGGAGTCTTATTTGGTAGTTGGGAAAGGAGGGGGTCGTATGTGCCTTCAAAAGAAATTTTGGGGAAAAAATTTCCTGGTTGTTGACTTTTCGCGTGATTTTTCCTGTTTCATGTGTACTAACATATACCCCACCCCCTCCCCCGGCTCGCCGGAAAATTTTGAGTGAAGGACAGGAAAATGTGGGTGGGGGGGGGGTTCGTGCCTACACTATCATTTCACACCTCACGATGCTGCACCCTGCGGGCGTTTCCAAAGGCCGTGAGAAAACAATCATACGCGATCAGAGGGATTGACTACAAGTTGTCGTAGGCTAAAGATTGACTACAAGTTGTCGTAGGCTAAAGACTATCACAAACAGTGTCATAGGTCTTCAAAGAAAATAAGACTCCAAAACAAAAAAAAACAAAATACGAAACGTTTTGTATTGCAGCATGATAACGAAAAGAACATCAGAACTAGAGAAAACAACTGAAAAAAAGTATGAAACTCATACCGGTAACGAGCAGCAAGCCAGACTTCTCCAACTGCTTCAAGAAAACAACGCGCTTTCCCTTGTGACGTCCAGCAAGAACAATGAGCACAGTTCCCGGAACGAGAGATTTTCTGAGTGGAACCTTCTTGGGGTGTCCAAGCTTAAACTTTGGTCCAGTTCGTTGAAGAGGAAGCATGAGCGGCTAAAAAACCAACAGCAGAAAATGGCGAAATAAACAAGAAGGTGGGATAGCGACAAAACAAAATGTATGGCATGGAGGTGGAGTAAGCGAGCGTAAAGCAAGGCCTACTCGCATAATATGCCTAATCGATATTCGAGAACATACCAGCACTCCACATTCAACAGAAAATGGGAGAGACTCTAGTCTCGAAACGATGACCAGCTACAAATAAAAATAGTTTGTAGCCTAACCTCAGCAGACTTCTTAACGAGTGGCTTCTTTGCTCCACGTCTAAGATACATTCGCGCTGCTGAAAACCTTGACACTGCCGGTGACAGGTCAAAGTTACGACCAAGTACAGGAACGTTCCTTCCACCCACCATTTGATACCTGAAGAGCAGCGGAGCAGTGTATTTAAATAGAACCAAGTCACGCTAAAAACGACAAGGGACGACTACTGAACGTGGATGTCTACTTTGAGCGAATAGTAAAGACACGGGAAACATAGCAGAAAAACAAACGAGCATTAACATCCAACTATGCTTCTGAGACTTCGCTAGCTCTTACGGGAAATATTCAAGGATAGTCCTTCAAAGTCGATAAACTCCGTTGCACGAGAACAATTTGCTTTGAAGGGCCTGCCGTAAGTTGAAAAATGTTTGCAACAATTAGGCTGCGTTCATACATGATGCAGAAATGCCGAACCACGGAATGTGCAGAACTGCGGAATTTGCAGACGTGTGGAATCTGCAGAACCGCGGAACTTGCAGAAAAAGAAAATATGTCTATCGATTTCAAAAACCGTGGAATATGCAGAAGTGCGGAATTTGCAGAAATGCCGATGGACCGATCGATCCCTATCGCTTCTTTGTCCGCAATTTCTGCATGTCGGCAAATTCCGCACGACGGCAGGGAAGAACCAATCGATCCCTATCAATTCTTTGTCCGTCATTTCTGCATGTCGGCAAATTCCGCGGAATTTGAAGAAATGCAGTTTTCAGATCGATACGTATATATTTCCTTTCTGCAAATTCCGCAGTTCTGCATATTCCGCATTTCTGCATCATGTATGAACGCGGCCTTACACAAATTGACTGCAATCGCATGAATGTCGGACCAAATGGGCTAGAAACTGAGGCATGAGTTATTTGGTTGTATATGCCAAATATAACCACTAAAAACTCGACTTATCGGATTACATAAGTAGAAAATTCCCAGGTTACAAGAAAGGCGAACATTTAGTTCAGTCGATAGAAACATGATTTTAACTGCAAGATTGGCTCGGAGCCAGACGGCATGAACCAAAGAGAATGGCGTTATTGAATCTGCTCTCTAGACAAAAAACTCCAATGCTCTTAAAGGTAAACAGTTGAAGTGAAAGATACAAACACTCAAAGTATCACAAAAGTACGCAACATACAATCTGAACTTCGCCCACTTGAAGAAACGGAAGATACAATAAGCCTTAAAATTGCTCACAAGCAGAGAAACTGGGAAATACCGGCCTTTTATGATATTTAGAGTCTTGAGTGCTACTGAACAAACGGACACATTACTTAATATAAGTTAAACCTAAGGAAAAATTAAATAATATTTAAGCAGAGAAATTGACATCGCCGGCGATCCCTGAGTATTCTACACTGTGCGCCTCGGGACCGCATATGTGGAAACGCGTGCGTCCTTTGAACTTCATTTTTGGATCTTCGGGTTGAGAAATGTGGATCATCTTTGTAGTCTTTTCGAGCTTGTGAGGAATGCTGCAGCTTGCTTCTTTTCAAGCTGGAACAAAGGGGCAGCTCGACGGTCGGTGTTTTCAGGTTGTCCATCGTATAATCCACCTGCCTGATCTCGTCCAATGATTTATCCTTACCATGATAACTGAGAAAGATGTCGAGGTCAGCTGTTTCACGCCAAGGGATTACCAGGTATGTATCTGAGCGATCTGGAGTTATGAATGGTTCCAGCGACAATCTTATTCCGCCCTTTTAGGAGACCCTTCTCTTGAAGTGTTGATGTTAATTTAGGTTGAACTTCTCGACAAGGCTTGCAAACGTAATGTTATCGTTCAACTCGGTACAGGTGCTGGGAAAACATTCATAGCTGTTTTGCTGCTGAAGGAGTATGGACTTCAAATTATGGCACCGTTCGAAAGCGGCGGAAAACGAGCGTTCTTTGTTGTTGACAAAGGTAGCTCTTGTTTCGTTCCTTCCTTTTTTTTTACAGAAATGTAGTTTTTTACTTCCTCGTAACAGGTTAAAGATCCGAAATGAAAAAAAAGATTGGTTGTGTTACTCGAATACTGAGCCAGGGTGGTAGGCAACTCAATAGAGAAAAAAAGTAGCAGCCATCCGAAGTGCCCTTGACAGGACCCCCGCCGGTGCGAACTTGTGCGGGCACACAGTAAAAGAGACTGTGGTTGGGCGAGTCATCATGTGCTGGTGTCCCAACAATATCATCTCATCTCTTATTACTCCATTCGGAATATAAAATACTTGTAGCAGATGAACCGCACCAGGGAGCTTGTAAAAGCAGCGGGCACGATGGCTGGGGGAGTGTTGTTACCGCCAACGTCATGGGTGCAAGGGCTGCGAGAAGACGTTCAGCCACATCCCACTCAGAATTTCCACCAGTGATGTTGGCAGCAACTCCCCCCCCCCCCACATCTCCAAGGCTATGCCCACTGCCCTTGAAAATGAGGTGTGGCGGACCGTATATTGGTGGAGCATCGCCGTCCTCACGAACGCCTAACTTCCTTACCGCCCACGGTCATTTCTAGACCAGGAGTTGAATATCACCTCTCCGTTTGGCTGGAATGTCAGTTGCAGATCCATGAGGCGACGACGTGGCGTTCGCTCCAGGACCCAATCTATTCAGCGTGGAAGAAATACACTATAGCAAACTAAAACGGAACTATTAGCTAGTTTGTGCGCCAGTATATAGCTTTCCCATCCGATATCAGCGCGGCTAAAGTACGAATGCAGACTCATGAAACTATTAGTGCCGTCATTTTGAAATAGTTTTTTTGGAGATATACTAGTTTCTACATGTTTTCAGTAGCTCTCGTGGATCAGCAAGCTGAGCATATTCAGTGCCATACTACGCTTACCGTTGGGAGAATGCATGGCAGTTTGAATAGCGATGTGTGGAATAAGCAAAGCGGATTCGAGGATTTCATGTCTGTACATAATGTCAGTTTCGACTTCAAATTTGGTATCCACATTGTTGCAGTTAAGTTCCTCCTGTACAGAACACACTTAGACTGAAGACAAATTGCATATTTGTATCCGAGAACAGCGCTTCCCATGGGCGAGAACGGGAGGTGGTCAGCTTTGCAGCTGTGACAGTTTCGTTTTTTGAAAGCGCAAGAAATGAGACAGTAATACCTGGGTTTCGTTTCGGACTGTGCCCTAAACACTTGCATCTGTGCAGTAGTCCCGCAGCGAACACGCAGAGGTAGACAACAACCAGAATTGAGAGGGCGCAGACAAGCAGCGCGCTCGGCTAAGGTTAGGTATGTGAATGGCTGCGTGGCAGCTCCTTTTCATCTCCGCTCCTGTGCAGTTTTGAGTTGAAAAGTAGCGCGCTACTGCTGCTGCAAAATCATTCCCTTGTACATGGCAAAGATCAGCGTCCTTGGAGGGTAGCGTACTGTTTGTCTTTAGAGTCGTTACTGTCGGTTTCTGTTTCAGGTAGTCGATTTGTTTCAGGTAGTAGTCATTACGGCACAAGTGTTTCTTGATTTGATAGATCATGCCTACTTCAACATCGCAAAACTTGCTCTCGTTATATTCGATGAATGCCATCATGCGCTTGGCGTTAAACATCCGTATAGGGTGATCATGGATCGGATTATGCGGGTACCAGCAGGTATTTTTGCTAGACTTAATCTTTTGGAGTGAATGTGAAGTAGTATTAGCACGTTTTCCACACCTGATTAGGTATACCTATAGTTAGCCCTTTAAGGCAAATCTTGTAGAGTCCAGATTACCTTCGCGTTTTCGTATCATATTCAAAAGTGACCTTAGTTCGCACCTTAGCGCGAGGCTCCTTGATCTAGGTGTGAGGAATGGCTACTTCCACTCCATATTCAGCCTAGCCGTTCCGCGCTTTTCCGGGAATTGTCTCTACTTTCTCTTTTCTAGCCTGAACAGCCTCGGATTTTGGGTCTCACGGCTTCCCTTATCAACGACAAAACTCCACCCAATCAGTTGGAGGCAAAACTTTCCAAGTTGGAGTGCGTTTTGAACAGTGCTATCGAAACAGCCTCTGATCTCGTAGCGGTGCGTAAGTCATTGCCTATTCAGGAGAATCGCTGCCTATTTTACGGCTATT